AAGGTTAGTTCACACCTTATTAATTGCTTCTATGAATTTTATATCCAGGTGAATAAGTCTCGAATATACGTATTTATTTTTATGCTCATATGCTAAGCACATATATTTTTTTTTAAAACTTAAACAGGAGATTTTGAGAATTTTTACAGGAATTTAAAATGATCTCATACCATAAAGATCAATAAGATTTTACAAGTATGGGGATCAATTTTGCAGATACTTATACGGGTTCTAAAGGCCCATTATTAAAATTAACTCTTTTTTATACTAAATATTTAAGTTCCATGTGAGATTTTAAGAATCTTCGTAGGAACTTAAATTAGTCACATTATTATGTGGGACAGTAAGTCCTCGTAGATATAGTGATTTTCAATTTTTGTAATAAATAAGTAATTTTGCAAATAATCATATAATATACAATTTAAGAAACTTAATTAACCAAATTAAATGTATTTAAATTGTAACCATATTTACCAATTATATCTTTTAGCCACGTGAAATTTTTGAATCTCCGTAGGCTTCTAAGATCATTGTATTATCGTGTGAGTCAATAAGACTCTGCGGATATAACGATTTAGTTTTTAAAATAATATACATATATATATATAATTAATTAAATCAATTAATTAAATTTAATTCCTGTCTCGTGTGAGATTTTAGAATCTCCGTAGATATTTAGGATAATCATATTACCGTATAAGTCAATAAGGCTTTGCAGGTATGATGATTAAAATTCTTCAAAACATGTATATACATACTTAAAATATATTTTTGATACTTAAAATGTACATAAGAATATAAATAAATAAATTGAATTGCCAAACTCTTCTATCATGTGAGATTTCAGAATCTTCGCAAATACTTAGAGCAATTGCATTACCGTATGAATCAATAAGGTTCTACAGGTACTGCAATTAAATTTCTAATCATAAAATATAAAGAAAGATAATTTTAAACCCTTTCATTTCTTTATTCAAAATTCAAAAATTGAGAAAATAATTAAAATTAAATTACCTTTTGCAATTTAAAACACACATATCAAAATTTCAGAAATTGTTTTATTTGCAAAATGGTGAGTTATTTCTAATTAATTTCTCTTCAAAAAATATTTTTACCGACAAACTTTTAAGCCCGAACTACGTGGACTTTGATCCCCATCACAGGGTACGTAGGCCTCAGAGTCAGATTCTGAGTCAAGTCCGTCCTCCCTCTCGTAAATAAATAAACATTTCTCAAACACATTGAAATAAATGGATAATTAAAATAATTTTAAAACCATATTAATAGAGCACAACAAACTTCAGGTAACCGTTCTCACGAACGGGTGTTGTGGGGTGCCTAACACCTTCCCCACACTCAACCGACTCCCGAACCTATTCTCTGATTTCGCAGATCACCCTTATCTTCCATTAATCGGTTTCCCGAGATTTACCTCAAAATCTTGGTGGCGACTCCTCGTTCGATCCGGTTCCCGCCGCGAAGGCCGGGACCTCCGCTCGCGCGCCGTCCGCGTCGCATTTTTTTTCCGGGTGCGACAGTTGGCGACTCCACTGGGGAGAGTTAGAGAGTCAAGCCTATAAGTCTGTTATGCTCAAAATATAATATGGTTTATCTTTATTATCCCTTTAAATTTATGTGTCCCTTGTTCCTTTCTCTTTTTCCCTTTTCTCTTTCCTTTTGTATTTTATAACATGTTTAAGGTAGATAACATGCGGAATAAACCTTAAGATAGATGACTTTTATTTGTACATATATTTGTTTCTCTATTTGATCTGATTAAAAGTTGGGAGTTGGGTAGCATATGAGAATAAGATAGCATGCTTGCATGCTCTCATCACACTATACACTTACACAATTTGACACACACATATTTTGGGCCCTATACCCGGGTCTGTGAGTACTATAGGTTAGTAGAGGTTAGTAGTGGTTTCCCTGTGGAGTTTTTGAACTCTCGGAGGTTACCATGAATACCTCACCCAAGCTGTTACTTGCCTAATAAATTTGGTCCCTGTAGAGCTTATGTTCTTGGAGGGCCAAGATTATTAAGTAAGGTCTTCACCTTTGTGTGAGGGCATCTTGGGAGCCTTTTAGGAATATACATCCACCCGTGAATTACACGTTTCAGACAACAGCTAGTAGCCAACCATTCTAGTGAGCACCCGATTATGAACTTAAGTCTCCCTGAATAGGACGCAGGATGAGAGTATTGATCTTTTATTGCATCATTGTCATAGCATGTCATCATAAAGTATTCGCATTTTTTTAAAAAAAAACCACAAATTAAATAATTTCTCTTGTCATTGAGACTTTAGCCATGTGTCAGTTTTAGCTGCACATAGGCTAATTAATCCCTTTCTCCCTATGGGGCAATAAGCACATTGAGGAGAGAATGGATTTTTTTTTTCTTTATCAAAATCATTTTTATCATTTTTTTCTCCTTTCTCAAAAATAAGATTGTAAGGCTAAACCTTTCAACATTAATCATGTAGGGGATTTAAGCCTCTCGTCCATTAATTGTTTACTCCATCTCCCTATGGTGCAATAAGTATCTAGAGGAGAGGGTTTTCAAAAAAGTGAGCCAGATAGCTTGCTAAAATTATGAGAATTGTATATTATTAACCTTTGTTTTGATTAACAGGAACCGTGAGTTATCCAGAATCTTTGTGAAATTGGCATAAGGGATAAATGGCACTCGAAGGTAGTACAAATCTAAGTCATACTGGAAAATTATATCAGGGAAAAGGGATCAAATTATCTGTAAAAGTTGAGCCGCTGGAAACCTTAATTGAGTTGAGCCGTCATATCAAAGGGAAGATTATGCAAGATTTTAAAAGGAAATATGGAAATATCTTGGATCTTCTGTCAGTCACAATACATAATGATGCAATAATGGAATTAAGCCAATATTGGGATGCCTCGTTAAGATGTTTCACATTTCAAGACTTCCAAATGGCACCGACTTTGGAAGAATATGGAGAAATTTTGAGAATGCCCCTTAAGGAGAACATGGCAGTATATCTTTATCCTGGATATTTACCATCTCGAGGCACGATAGCGAAAATTTTGGAAATTCCTAAGGAAAAGGTACGAATGGTTTGCCCAGGACAAACAGAGGGAATCTCAAGAGCTGATGTAGAAGCCCACTTGAAAGTTTTGGCAGGAAAAGAGGCTTGGGTTACATTTTGCAGAGTCTTTGCCTTATGCATATATGGAATAATCCTGTTTCCATCATCAATTGGCATAATTGACTTAGGAGCCATTAGTGTATTCCAAATGGTGGAATACCATAACGTGAATCCAGTACCAGCAATCTTGGCAGAAACGTACTTGACCTTAACTCAATGTCACGATAAAGGGAAAGGAAAGGTCAATTGTTGTATTGCATTACTGGATTTATGGATGCTTGGCCACCTTTATGGAAAGACGCTTCCTTTCAGAAAGAAGAACGACTCAGACAGTAATCCACTCATGTCTTTTAAAGGCCAATTCATGATTGACGGAATGAGCTACATGGATTGGAAAAGAACCTTCTCAGAACTTAAAGAAAGTTCCATTTTATGGAAACTAGACTGGTGGTGGAAAGAGGAGGTTATTTACCATTGTGGTGACTTTCCGAATGTGCCTTTAATGGGACCCAGAGGGTGTATCAACTATAACCCTTCCTTAGCGTTAAGGCAACTGGCCTATAAGCAAAATGTTCCTTCTAAGAAAGAGGTGCAGGAGTTATACTTTCTACATAAGGAGGATGGGACAAAGTTATTAAGCCAGAATGTCAAAGAAGCATGGCAAGAGATAGGTTACAAAGGGAAGATTGAGCTAGGGATACGTGTAGTAAACTCAAGTCCAGAATACACTACTTGGCTGAAGAGTATGATTCAAGGAGCAAATCCTTTATTTCATCCTCAAAATCCCTTGTTAGGCAATGACTTGAAAGAGATTAATGGCCAATTGGTTGAATGCTTGAAGATGAAGGAAAATGAGTTACAAGCGCTTGCTAACTCAGAGTCTAAGAATAAAGAAGAATTGGAAAAATACCAAAACGAATGCGTTGAGTTACGGAGGAAGCTAGCAAAGGAAAGAGAAGGGCATAACCTTGAAGAAACACCTGAGACTAAGAAATTGAAAAAGGAAAATGCCAAACTGAAAAGGGAAGTGCAAACTAGTGATAACAAAGTTCAAAGTACTAAAGCAAGACTTGTCAAAATAGTCAGGGAAAATGATGCATTGAAGAAGGAATTACAAGACATCAGACCCATTGAGGAGATGCAGCAAGAAATCAATACGCTCACAAGACAATTGGAAAGGAAGGTGAATGAACTAGCCAGGGTGAGAGGAAGTGCAGCTGAGACAGCACAGAACTTTGTTCAGAGGCTTAATCAACAAAATGAAGTCTTAGAAGAGTGGAAATCACTTTGCCTTGATCAAACAGAAGAAACCAAAGAGTGGATGTTAAAATGTAGGCAGATAATTGATTTGGCTAATGACAAAATTCCAGAATTTGCAAGAGCATTTAAGCAAGCTGAAGGCATGGTTCTCCCTGGGGGAACTCCATTAGAGATTGTTGAATTCTTCCATTTGTGCAATGAAATTGTAAAAGAACTCAATAGCGTGACGAAGTTCTAAATCTGTATTAACATTTGAATCATTGTATGAGGATCTACATGACGCTTTGTGGTTGTGAAATTATTGATTAATTTGTACTACCATCATTTTCTTAAGACCTTGAATTTCGATAGGATCCAATGTCCATCTAATTCAATGGTCAACTTTAAATCCCCTATGAAGTAATAAATTTCTGGAGGAATTTAAAGGGTGCCAGTGTCGCGAAACCCTTATGTCTACACAATGCTGGATATCTTACGAAACAAACGTAAAGGTAAAACTTATTAAAATTAATTATTATGTTACACAGGTAAGCCAACATTGCGCCTCGAAAGAAAAACTCGGTTGACCAGATTCCCACCACTCGAGCATACAACACACGATCGCGTAGTCGTGCAATGGAAAATTCAACCGGGAATGAGTCAGCAACCTTAAATGATCGGATGTCTGCAGTGGAGTCTAAAATGGCTGAAATAAGTGACATGATGAAATTGCTAACAGAGGCTCTAAAAGGACGGAGTGATGATAACCCACCACGAAATACCGTAGCAGATGAGAACGCGGTTAATAGAACAATTGAGCCAAACAGAGGATCAGATCCTAAAGTACCCACGCCAGAGAAACAAGATTCTGGGATAGGGGCCTTTAACATACCGGATGGTCCTGGGGAAGATCATGCCTACATGTTCCAAATCCCACAAGTGCTACATAAAGAGAAGGAGTTGAAAGAAGAACTTGGAGAGATGAAAGATCAATTGAAGGCTCTTCAAGGATCAAACACGTGGGGTTCCTTAGACTTGAAAGAATTATGTTTGACCCCAGAAATCGATGTTCCCAAGAAATTCAAGATGCCAAGCTTCGATAAATATGATGGTACAAGTAACCCAATTTATCATTTGAGGGCCTATTGCACAAAGATGTCCATATGGTCACAAGATGAGAAGTTTCTGATAAACTTCTTTCCCGAAAGCTTAACTGGAGCCGCATTGACTTGGTACATGCAACTAGACCAAACCAAGATTAAAAGATGGAAAGACCTTGTGGATGTTTTCATGAGACAATACAAGTTCAATCTTGATACTGCTCCGACCAGAGAACAATTGAAAGCAATGACCAAGAAATCATTAGAGTCATTCAAAGAATATGCTCAAAGATGGAGAATAGTGGCTTCGCAAGTGCAACCTCCAATGGTTAATTCCGAACTTTGCTCGTACTTCATCCGTGCGTTGCCTAAGCCATTTTACCAACACATGATAGGAACACATGTCACTGATTTTGCTGATTTAATGGTAATTGGGGAAAGGATTGACATAGACATACGAGAAGGGAAGATAGCCACTTCTCAAGCTGAAAGTAGTTCACGAAAGAACTATGACCAAAAAAAGAAAGAAGGGAATGTGAACTATATTCAACCTATAAGACAAGCAGCTACCAATTCTCAAGTCCCTTATCAAGTAGAGGGAAGGAATCAAAGACAGCAACAATTTGGGTTCAGGCCTAACAAGCACGGACAGGATGGAGAGAGGAGAAATGTCCAATCCAGGGATAGTCGCCCATGGCCCAATTTTGGATTAACAAATGCTGAATTGTACCATAAACTTTTGACAGCCCAATTATTAGGTCCGCGACCTTATAAGCCTCTTGGTCCGCCTTACCCGGCATGGTATAATCCAAATGTTGTTTGTGAATACCACATGGGTGCACCTGGGCACTCAATAGAAGACTGTGTGACGTTTAAAAGAATGTGCTAGACCTAGTTGATTCTAACCATATCCAGCTTAAAGAAGAGGGAAGCTCTACCCTTACTACTGATCCACTCCCAAATCACGAAAAACGAGTCAACGCTATTGAAGAAGAAGATGCGTGCTTCAAAAGCTCCGCAAGAATCAGGATGCCTATGAATGAGCTTTATGCTCATTTAAAGGAGTATGGCTATATGCGAGAAATGCTCCTCACGAATAATATCAGTGATCAAATGCCTGGATACTGTGAATATCATCAAGAGAAAATAGGCCATGACATAGAAAGTTGTGAACAGTTTAAAGGAGCTGTTAGAAAAATGATGGCGTTAGGGATCGTGTCTGTAAAGAGGGGAGACGCCAAAGTGTGCATGGTAGAAAAAAAACATGTTGAGCTTGTCATTAAAAATTTGAGCCCAAAAGAACGGGTTCAGGCAGTCTCTTTTGTGATAAACAAAGCCTCTGCAGATCTTGTACCTCACGTAAGACAACCAACATTGACCATAAGCACGCCTCATCCCTTTCCCTATGAAAGTGATCGAGCAGTCCCGTGGAAATATCAAAGCATTGTGGAGAACCACAAAAACCCAACGTTGATTGCGGGACAAGCAATGAAATGGCCAACCAAGGGGGTGTTACTCGAAGTGGAAAACCATACTTACCATCTTACATTAGGAAAATGGTAAAAGAGAAAAATGCAAGTATTAATAGGCCAAAGGAAGACAATCCTAAAGAAATGGAAAAATTAGAAGATGAGTTTTTATCGATTATGAAGCAAAGTGATTACAGCATTGTGGACCAATTGAAGAAAACTCCAGCGCGTATCTCCATACTTTCTTTGATTTTAAGTTCCGAAGCGCATCGTCAAGCATTGCAGGAAGTGTTGAATCAAGCTTTTGTGCAGCCTAATATAACCCCTGAGAAGGTGGCAAGTGTAATGAATGTTGTAAAAGCCTCCTCTACCATTTCCTTTTCGGAAGAGGAAGTTACAGAAACCGCTGTTCACCAAGCCAAGGCTTTGCACATCACTTTGAAATGTGAAGGGTTCATAATCGCAAGAGTATTAATTGATGGAGGATCAGCGTTAAATGTCTTGCCGCTCTCCACATTTGAATCATTATCACTAGAAGCTTCAGGTGTACATAAAAGTAATATTGTGGTAAGAGCATTCGATGGATCAAGACGGGAAGTATTAGGATCCATTTGTCTCTCCCTGGAGATAGGGCCGAGCAGGTTTAAGGTGGATTTCCAACTCATGAACATAGACCCAAGTTACACAATGCTGCTAGGAAGGCCATGGATTCATTCTGCTAGGGCTGTTCCTTCTACCTTACATCAAAAGGTTAAGTTCATCAGTGATGGGAGAATTATAGCAGTTAAAGGAGAGGAGGAAATCATGGTGAGCAAACCAAGCTCACTCCCTTATATTGAGGCTGCAGAGAAAGATTATGGAGTTTCCTTTCAAAGCCTAGAGGTCGAGGGTATTTGCGGTAGTACTCACAACATCAATTCCGTCGTGGCTAAAATCATGGCGAAGAGTGGGTTTATGCCAGGGAAAGGTTTAGGCTCTCATTTACAAGGAATTACGTGTCCAATTAAGGTTTTGGATAATTGTAATCGCCAAGGGTTAGGGTATGAGCCTACCCTGGAAGACCAGATGAAAGACAAAGCAAGTTTGGCAAATGGCAAAAAGGCTAGTAAATTGGAGATTCCACACATTAAAGAATCCTTCCCAGGCCCGTCCGAGGTGATATATAAACCAGCTATCTCAGTGATCTCTTTTAATGAAGATGTACCATGCAGAACAAGTGCCTCAATTGCAGTCGATGATTCCAACAAAGTTCTGGCGAATTGGGAGTTTGAAGAGGCCAATGATGTCATTAGCTTAGAGTAATTGTTTCAATTATGTTGTTCCTATTTTATCCACTTTTGAGCCCAGGTTTAGGTAATAGATCTTGGGTATTCACTAATGCAAACTTTTGATATACATAATTCATGAAAATGAATTTCAATTGCATTCATGTCTATTTCTTTATTCCACCCTATCTACTTCAATACATCTTTCTCCGTTTCATTCCTGTTCCTTATTTCATCTCGTTCCATATTCATTATCCAGGGATTTTGTTTCTTCTGATTCCATCTCCCACCCAGAGATTAATAAACCCTGTGAAGATGATTCATTCGTTGCCACTGATATGCATGATTGTGAGTCTGATGATGAAGACATAATCCAAACTTTTTCAAAGATGCTTGAATTGAGTGATAAGGGAATATGCCCACATGAAGAAGTGATTGAGATGGTTAATATGGGAACCGAGGAGGATCAAAGAATGCTCAAAATAGTAGATAATCCTGAAAGGGAACAAATGATTGAGTTGTTCAAAGAATACATAGATGTGTTTGCATGGTCATATAAAGACATGCCTGGGCTAGACCCAAGCATTGCTTCTCATAAAATACCATTACTTCCCAAGGTCGAGCCTAAGAAACAAAAGTTAAGGAGAATGAACACGGGGGTGTCCTTGCAGATAAAAGAAGAAGTAATAAAGCAGTTAGAAGCAGGATTTTTGGAGGTAGTAACTTACCCACAATGGGTGGCAAATATTGTTCCTGTTCCTAAAAAAGATGGTCGGATTCGAATGTGTGTTGATTATCGTAATTAAATAATGCGAGTCCGAAAGATGACTTTCCATTACCCCACATTGATGTATTGGTCGATAATACTGCTCGAAGCTATCGCTATTCCTTTATGGATGGTTATTCAGGGTACAATCAAATCCCTATGCATGAAAAGGATAAAGAGAAAACAACCTTTACAACCCAATGGGGAACTTATTGTTATCGGGTAATGCCTTTTGGTTTGAAAAATGCTGGGGCAACTTATCAACGAGCTATGGTAGCACTATTCCATGACATGATGCATAAAGAAATTGAAGTATATGTAGATGATATGGTAGCTAAATCAGCGGAGAATAAGAGTCATGTTGGAGTCCTTAGAAAGCTATTTGGGAGATTACGCGAATATCGGCTAAGATTGAATCCTAACAAATGCATTTTTGGAGCTCTTTCTGGGAAGTTATTGGGATTCATTGTGAGTCGTAAAGGGATAGAAGTAGATCCAGATAAAGTGAGAGCAATTCGAGAAATGCCATCTCCCCAAACAGAGAAAGAAGTTAGAAGTTTCTTGGGACGATTGAATTACATTGCTAGATTCATTGCCAATCTAACAGCCACTTGCGAACCAATGTTTAAACTGTTAAAGAAAAATTGCAAGGGGACATGGGATGATGATTGTCAAAAGGCCTTTGATAAAATTAAAGATTATTTGTTAAATCCCCCGATTTTGGTACCTCCATCACCAGATCGTCCACTAATCCTTTACCTAACAACTTTACCTCGCTCAATGGGAGCAATGCTAGGTCAACTTGATGATTCTGGAAAGAAGGAAAGAGCGATTTATTTCTTGAGCAAGAAGTTTAATGAGTGTGAAGCTCGTTATCCGGTGATTGAGCGAACTTGTTGTGGACTAGTATGGGCAACTAGAAGGCTAAGGCAATACATGCTTTACTACACTACCTGGCTAATCTCACGAGTGGACCCACTTAAATACATCTTTGAGAGCCCGCACATTACTGGTAGAGTACTAAAATGGCAAGTTGTACTATCAGAATATGATATAAAGCATGTGATGCAAAAGTCAGTCAAAGGTAGTGCAATAGCAGATCACTTGGCCGATAATCCTTTAGGGGATGACCAACCATTAGATTTTCAATTTCCTGATGAAGTCATATGCACTACAGAAGAAGGTTGTGGTGAAGGAAACAATGAAGAGCGAGAATGGGAAATGTATTTTGATGGAGCCGCCAACATGCATGGAAATGGGGTAGGAGCGGTGATCGTTTCACCCGAAGGAAAACAATTTCCAGTGGCCATCAAATTAGAATTTGATTGTACTAACAACATAGCAGAATATGAAGCTTGTGTTAATGGTCTTCGAGCAGCTATTACCCTTGGTATACGGTGTTTGAAGGTATTTGGTGATTCAGCTCTCATTATTCATCAAGTAACAGGAGAATGGAGAACAAAGGATGTAAAATTGATTCCCTATCAAGAACTCCTAACAGATTTGATTAAGCAATTTAAGGTTGCTAGCTTTCATCACTTGACTAGAGATAAAAACCGTTTCGCTGATGCTTTAGCCACTTTAGCAGCAATGATCCAACTTGATTGTGGAGTCCATATCCAACCCATCCAAGTGGAAGCTAGAAGCTTTCCAGCGTACTGTCTGAATGTTGAAGAAGATCGAGAAGAATATCCTTGGTTCCAGGATATTAAGGATTATATCACTAAGAGATCATACCCAGCTGGAATGACTGAGAATGAAAAGAAAACCCTTCGTCGTTTGGCTATGACATTCTTTATCAGTCAAGATGTTCTATACAAGAGGGGTTATGATGGTACTTTACTTCGCTGTGTGAGTTCAGAAGAAGCAAAGAAAATCATGGTTGAGGTACATGAGGGCATATGTGGCACGCATGCGAATGGTCACACTATGGCCAAACAGATTCAAAGGTATGGCTACTTCTGGCTAACAATAGAGAAAGATTGCTTTGAGCATGTCAAGAAATGCCATAAATGTCAGGATAAATGCTCCTCCAATCCCATTATATAATTTGGTATCACCCTGGCCATTCTCAATGTGGGGCATTGACATTATTGGCCCAATTAACCCAAAAGCTTCGAATGGACATCGCTTCATCCTTGTCGCGATTGACTATTTCACAAAATGGGTAGAAGCAAATTCATTTGCTAGCATCACGCAAAAGACGTTCCTTAAATTCATGAAGACAAATATTTTATGCCGATATGGGATTCCTGAAAGGATCATTACTGATAATGGTCCCAATCTCAATGGAACGGAAGTCAGGAACTTTTGCGAGAAGTTCCAAATCAAGCATCATAATTCAGCCCCGTATAGACCTCAAATGAATGGAGCAGTTGAAGCAGCCAATAAAAATATTAAGAAGATCATTGGAAAAATGACAGTAACTTATAAGGATTGGCATGAGATGCTTCCCTATGCTTTACATGGTTATCGTACTACTGCACGCACATCCATAGGGGTGACCCCATACTCCCTTGTTTATGGAATGGAAGCTGTTACACCCATTGAGATAGAAATACCATCTTTAAGAGTATTGGCAGAGGTAGATTTAGAAGAAAATGAATGGATACGAACCCGATTTGAGCAACTTAACATGATTGAAGAGAAAAGGCTCATTGCAATGTGTCATGGACAATTGTACCAAAAGAGAATGGCAAGAGCTTTTGATAAAAAACTTCGCCCACGGGAATTCAGTGCTGGGGATCTTGTACTCAAGAAAATATTGCCTAACCAAGAAGATAATAGAGGCAAATGGGCTCCGACCTATGAGGGACCTTATGTTGTCAAACATGCTTTTTCTGGAGGAGCACTGATCCTAGCTGACATGGACGGTCAAGAGTTAGCAAAGCCCATTAATGCAGATGCTGTCAAGCGTTACTTTGCTTAAACAGAAAATGAAAAAGAATGAAGCGCTCGTTAGGTTGAAAACCTGTAAAGGCAACCTAGGCAAAAGTTAGAGCTAATAGAAAATGAAAAGGAAAGAATAGCTCGTTAGGTTAAAAAACCTGTAAAGGTAATCTAAGCAAAAGTTAGAGCTAAAAAAAAAGGGGGGCAAAGCCATGATAAGAAGAAGAAGAGTTCGCCAAGACAAAAGGATGTCTTAGGAGAAGAAAAGGAAGGCATCAAAAGTTAATTATGTTTGGGAAAGTTATCTCCATCGTCTCTCATATTATGCATATCAATAGCAGCTCAGTGAAACACCTGTTGGGGTTTTGAAAAGCTAAAGGAAGAGATGTGATAAAGTAAATCCATATATCCCATTCGCGCTTTGGCCATTTGTACTCATAAACCAAGATATTCCCATTTCTCTATGAACTTTAGCCTCAGTGAATGAATTTTTTCCGCCCTTGCTCCTTTGAGACCATCTTTCTTCTCGTTTCGTGTTATCATATTTGGATACAAATCTCATATATTACAGCAGGTTCGCATTCAAGGAACAATATTCATTGACGCATTTACTTGACGTAGAATGCTGGTATCTTTATTCTCGCCTTTCGCCCTTGAGGTATCAAGATCATTACGTAGGTGTAAAATGATAATGAGAGCATGTCTACTATTAGTGTTTGGTTATAATAGTTAATCTCATCAATTTGAAGACAAGATCAAGTGACAAGAATTTGGTCATTGGAATTTTCTAAAGAGGGGCAACGGCATACTGTGATACTACACCTATTAATGAATAAAGGTTAAATAACAGACTTGGAGGTATTACCTTATGTTCGAAATGATTTATTCAATGTGCACAAAATTTTCAAAAAAGGGGGATAAATACTAAGATAGTTTTCAACATTAAGCTTTCCAATAAAATTTTTGCAATACATTTGCATTATTCATACATTTGCATTGGGGCAAATAAGCACGTCTTACCCTTTACATTGCAAATCATCCATCCAATGTATATTTAGCGCCTATAAACATCATACATGGCACATTACCACATTGCATGCCTTGTCGTAGAAACACGCCACACTTAGATTGGGGCAAATAAAAAAACATGCATTGCATATCACCCCATTGCATGCATTGCTACAGAGAGTATGCCCTATTTAGATTAGGGCAAACTAAAAACTTGCAAAACCTAAGGAAGTAAGCGAAGAATTAACAAAACTCACCTTTGAGTTTCTCATATTTTCCCCGTGAGATGAAACCTATTCTCACACTCAAAGCCCAGTACCGGCTGGCACGATTTCTTAAAGCCCTGTAACGGCAGGCCCCCAAAGCCCTGTTACGGCAGGCACCCAAAGCCCAGTACCGGCTGGCACGATTCCTTAAAGCCCTGTAACGGCAGGCACCCCAAAGCCCTGTTACGGCAGGCACCCTAAAGCCCAGTCCCGGCTGGCACGATTCTTTAAAGCCCTGTAACGGCAGGCACCCCTAAAGCCCTGTTACGGCAGGCCCTCAAAGCCCAGTACCGGCTGGCAATTCCTTAAAGCCCTGTAACGGCAGGCCCCCAAAGCCCTGTTACGGCAGGCACTCAAAGCCCAGTACCGGCTGGCATGATTCCTTAAAGCCCTGTAACGGCAGGCACCCCAAAGCCCTGTTACGGCAGGCACCCTAAAGCCCAGTACCGGCTGGCACGATTCTTTAAAGCCCTGTAACGGCAGGCACCCCTAAAGCCCTGTTACGGCAGGCCCTCAAAGCCCAGTACCGGCTGGCACGATTCCTTAAAGCCCTGTAACGGCAGGCCCCCAAAGCCCAGTACCGGCTGGCACGATTCCTTAAAGCCCTGTAACGGCAGGCCCCCAAAGCCCTGTCACGGCAGGCACCACAAAGCCCAGTTTCGGCTGGCACAATTCTTTAAAAGCCCTGTCACGGCAGGCACCACAAAGCCCAGTATCGGCTGGCACAATTCTTTAAAGCCCTGTCACGGCAGGCATCCTCCGAGCCTTGTAAAAGCAGGCATCCACCCGGTCCTTTGGAACATAGGCAATTCATCTCCATTGAGGTTTTGTTTTGTTTAGTTCGTAAATCACATTTCATTTTAAACCCTTTCTTTTATTTTGTTTTGTTTTGTTTGGTTGTAGATACCTAAGAGTCTTGCCCCTCCTAACAAAATACATGTTTCTCTCTTCATTCATTTCTAAGATAAGAATATCATCTCATGAAATTCTCACTTAGAAATCAAATGAAGAGGGGGCATCTAGTCAACATATATTTTGTTTGGATCGTTGTCATTTGATTATTTTCATTCACATCACATTGCTAAAAATCAAAAATCATGTCACTGTGTTTGTTATGCAATAGTCTCGCATTTAATCATATCTTGTCGTGTCAGGGGCAATTAGGTCTTTTCATAGGTATTGCATGGCCGACCAAAATACATGTTCTATCTTTACTTGTCACTTATGTAAGAATTCAAAAACACACTTTTTCATATACTTACATAAGAAACAAGTAAAGAGGGGCAACTGTGAACACCGTATTTTGTCCGGGCATTTTTTTTAAAAATAATAATAAATAACCAAAAATATATAAAAATACAAAAAAATTTAATCCTTTTTAGGATTATATTTTCAAGAAAATAATAATAATAATAATCATCATCATCATCTAACAAAAAAATCCTCTCTCCTTTTACCTTAGATAACCCTTCTCTTAAAAGAAAATTAATTAAAAAAAATATACTATGAGATTGAATAATTAAATAAAATAAAATAAAGAGGTAGTATCACGTGCATGCCATTTTGAACTGCCCAGCTTCAGCAACAAAAACACAGCAGACATGAAACAGACAAAAAAAGAAGGAAAACGAGAGAGAGAACAGTCAGCCACGCATGCACGAAGAGAACGCCGGAAAAACGCACGAGCAGACGCAGAAAAAAGGAACTTTCAGCCATGCAGAGAAACCAGAACACGTCAACGCACAGCCACAGCTACACAGAGAACACACACAGAAAAAACAAGCAGAGACGCACAATGAAAGGAAATAGAAACATGCACGTACACGAGAAAGCAGAAAGAAAAACACAGCACCAACACATACGAAACACACACAGAAAAAGTAGAGGCATGGACACGACAGAAGAAAAAGGGAAGCAGAAAGGCAGCACCCACACGCAAAGAAAAAGAAGAGCCATGCAGAAATGAAAACAGAGCAGAGAGCTTTCGGCGCACGCAGAAAATGCAGCGGAAGAGAAGGGAAAAGGAAGAAGCAGAGAAAGGGAGTAATCATTCAGCTCTTCCATCCTCTATATAAGGAGTGACAGGGCTGGGAGAAAAGAGGAGGAGACGGAGGAGGTGAAACAGAAAAAGAAAGACCGAGAGGACTGAAAACAGAAAACAGAGACAGAGGAGAGAGTCCGGGAGAGGAAGAGAAGAGAGAAAGAAAATAGAGCAGAGAAGAAGCAGCAGAAAAGGAGAGGAAAAATGGAGAGAAACGAGGCGAGAAAAACTGGAAGAAGGAGATCAGAAGTAAAAACAGAGCATAGGAGAACTGAGAGAGAGCACGAGGACGAGCGAAGACTGGAGACGAAAAGAATAACAGAGCAACTGGAGAGAGAGAGAAAGTGTGGAAGTTTGCAGGGGCTACTGCCATCACTGACGGTGCACTTTGTCCTCCTCTGTGTCTTCATCTCCTCTTTCTTTCTCAGTTACGGGCATCGCGGGAGCGTGTGTAAGTTTGCAGGGGCTACTGCCATCACTGACGGTGCACTTCGTCCTCCTCTGTGTCTTCATCTCCTCTTCCTTTCTCAGTTACGGGCATCGCGGGAGCGTGTGTAAGGTTAGTTCACACCTTATTAATTGCTTCTATGAATTTTATATCCAGATGAATAAGTCTCGAATATACGTATTTATTTTTATGCTCATATGCTAAGCACATATATATTTTTTTTAAAACTTAAAACAGGAGATTTTGAGAATTTTTACAGGAATTTAAAATGATCTCATACCATAAAGATCAATAAGATTTTACAAGTATGGGGATCAATTTTGCAGATACTTATACGGGTTCTAAAGGCCCATTATTAAAATTAACTCTTTCTTTATACTAAATATTTAAGTTCATGTGAGATTTTAAGAATCTTCGTAGGAACTTAAATTAGCCACATTATTATGTGGGACAGTAAGTCCTCGTAGATATAGTGATTTTCAATTTTTGTAATAAATAAGTAATTTTTGCAAATAATCATATAATATACAATTTAAGAAACTTAATTAACCAAATTAAATGTATTTAAATTGTAACCATATTTACCAATTATATCTTTTAGCCACGTGAAATTTTTGAATCTCCGTAGGCTTCTAAGATCATTGTATTATCGTGTGAGTCAATAAGACTCTGCGGATATAACGATTTAGTTTTTAAAATATATATACATATATATTATATAATTAATTAAATCAATTAATTAAATTTAATTCCTGTCTCGTGTGAGATTTTAGAATCTCCGTAGATATTTAGGATAATCATATTACCGTATAAGTCAATAAGGCTTTGCAGGTATGATGATTAAAATTCTTCAAAACATGTATATACATACTTAAAATATATTTTTGATACTTAAAATGTACATAAGAATATAAATAAATAAATTGAATTGCCAAACTCTTCTATCATGTGAGATTTCAGAATCTTCGCAAATACTTAGAGCAATTGCATTACCGTATGAATCAATAAGGTTCTACAGGTACTGCAATTAAATTTCTAATCATAAAATATAAAGAAAGATAATTTTAAACCCTTTCATTTCTTTATTCAAAATTCAAAAATTGAGAAAATAATTAAAATTAAATTACCTTTTGCAATTTAAAACACACATATCAAAATTTCAGAAATTGTTTTATTTGCAAAATGGTGAGTTATTTCTAATTAATTTCTCTTCAAAAAATATTTTTACCGACAAACTTTTAAGCCCGAACTACGTGGACTTTGATCCCCATCACAGG